TGTTTCCTTCTTTCGTTATTATTTTTCCTCCGCTTTAAACTGGAAAATGGCCCACTTCCCACTGGCGAAAACTCAGGAAATTTGGCAGGACGACCGGGCCTGGTGAAAAATTCGATATTCTGAAGTCGCCCAAACAATAAAATGCAAAATGGCTCCATAGCGCCCCCTAAGGTGAAAATTCACATGACGGCTGTACGCTTTGTCATATTGACACAAAAATTGACACACACATGTATCTCAATAAGATCTACAAAAAAGTCAGTGCGGGCGTATCTGTCAAATGTACGGTTAATGGGTTATTTTGCATTTTTTGCAGATCTGCACACATTGGAATTTCGCTAACTCCTCCGAAGGCTTTCGTTCGACCGGCACCACATTTGCGCAGGCCAATCTACCCCCCATGGCCATTAAAAGTTGTACAAATCATGACGCTGCACCCCACGGTTTACGTTCTAGGGGGCGCCAAAGATAACCCAAAATCCACATTCTTAAAAGTCTTATAACTTTTTATTTTTGTCCTCACTGGCCTCCAAGTTTTCTAGGATGATGCAATGTCCAGCCATCAACACATTTGTGAAGGAATTTTTACTCCCCAAAAGAGCGCCCCCCCATGGCAGGAGAAAAAAGTCAATTTTTTCTTGTCCCCTTACATGAAAATACACATTGTTGAGTGTCACGCCTGAACGCTTTGTCATATTGACACAAAAATTGACAATCATGTGTATCTCAATTAGATCTACGAAAAAGTCAAAAAGCGCGTATCTGTATAATGTACGGTTAAAGGGCTATTTCGCATTTTTTGCCGATTCGCACACATTGGAATGTGGCTATCTCCTCCTAAGGCTTTCGTCCCACCGATACCAAATTTGCTCAGGGCAATCTACACCCCATGCCCATTCAAAGTTGTAAAAATCATGACGCTGCACCCCACGGTTTACGTTCTAGGGGACCCCAAAGATGACCCAAAAATCCACATTCTTAAAAGTCTTTTTGGCCACTGCAGGAGTACAGAGTACTGCAGTTCTAGGGGGCGCCAAAGATGACCCAAAAATCCACATTCTTAAAAGTCTTTTTGGCCACTGCAGGAGTACAGAGTACTGCAGGATACACACACACACACACACACACACACACACACACACTCAGAGTCTGTTTTTTAGCACCTGCAAAAACATGCTGTTTACATATTTGACAAGAATGCAGAGGCTCCTTTTGCCCCTGAAAAAAATCAGATTTCAAACACAACTTGACTGTTCATTTCTCCAAAAGACAACCATGAAGCTCCATCCAAACCTGAAGCAGATAGTTGGTGCATGTGTACAGTAACCTGAGGGGAGTGAGGTGACTATTTCTGAGGAGAACATGAGCAGTGAAGATTCACCTTGGAGCTAGAACAGGGACGTGCACATGATTATACAGGGGCAGGGGCTCAAGTTTTTTCCAGTCATTTATACAATATGGAAATTAATGTGAAATTAAACCACAAATATGTGTGATGAACTGTTTTTAAAACTTAAACTTCAAATAAAAATTGTAAACTTCAAAACATATGCAAATTTTTAACAAAGAACATAGTAATTTACCTCTATTTACATCAAAATGCAGGCAATGGCCCAGGCGTTCTTTGTAAAATTATTTACAAAACACTGAATAGTCTCACAAATGTCACTTTTTATTTATGCCACTACAAAAAAACATGATGTAAATGATGCATGATGTAAAACATGATGTAAAAAACTTGTGTAGATCCTCCTCTATGTCAGTCCATGTGTAATTTTTCCATAATTCTTTGTTTTTTGCAGCATTTTTGTTAGTGTAACTGCAGATTGTGCTGACAGTGTCTATGGCACAAAAAAAAAAAAAAATTAAAATGCCTCAACATGAACCCCTGGTGGTCTCTGAGGGTGAAACCTGCTAACTGCTGCAGCTCTGTCAGCTTCAGTCTCCCATGCAGAGCTCTGAGCGCATGTGTGGCTCTGCACCCTTAGCAGCGTTGCTAACTCCTCAGTAAGGAAAGCCTGCTTCATGTCAGAGTCTCTAAACTCCAGAAGAAGTCGATAAAAGTCACTTTCTTTCTAAAAAAAAGTCGTTAGGGGGTCTGAAAAGTCATTGAATCTAACAACAAAGTCGCTAGGTTTGCAACTACGTGTCCCAGACTGCATCCCTGCTGAGAGTCCCTCCCTCGCTTCTCATGTTGCAGGAAGAACGTAAGCGCCCGCCCCTTGTCAATCAGTCACCATATAATTTTGGATTGGTTGTTGTGGTGAAGTTTTCCACCAATAGGAGAGATGTTGTGGTGTGTTTTTTTTTTCTTTTGGCAAGCCTTTTCCGCCTGTAAGACCTGTCGCTAATGTCTGCATGCTATGTTTTCCTGTCTCATACAGCGCGATCGAGCGCCGAACGTGATCAAAATAAGCAGAAAAAAAGTATCGCGGACATAATTTATCATAACTCTGGTTTTATTTGGCCTATCAACACAATTTAAAAACTGGTATATAGGTTGAGGTCCTCACTTTTGAGATAAGTTGAAACGGAGAGTCAACGAGGCTCCGTCTTGCAGCTACATCCGGTTAAATATGTCATGTGACTTGAACGCACACACAGACACACACACACGCACACACACACACACACACACACACACACTCAGAGTCTGGTTTTTAGCACCTGCAAAAACATGCTATTTACATATTTGACAAGAATGCAGAGGCTCCTTTTGCCCCTGAAAAAAATCAAATTTCAAACACAACTTGACTGGTCATTTCTCCAAAAGACAACCATGAAGCTCCATCCAAACCTGAAGCAGGCAGTTGGTGCATGTGTACAGTAACCTGAGGGGAGTGAGGTGAGTGCTTCTGAGGAGAACATGAGCAGTGAAGATTCACCTTGGAGCTAGAACAGAGACATGCACATGATTATACAGGGGCAGGGGCTCAAGTTTTTTCCAGTCGTTTATACAATATGAAAATTAATGTGAAATTAAAACACAAAGTATTAATAGAAAGGTAATGACTGTCCTGTGTAGGTGACAGTGATATCCAATAGGCTAGGCACTCACGAGGCTGGCTGTGGCAAGTGTAAGTGAAAGCAACACGCACTGGCAGGAATAACAGCAAATGCCGATGAAGGAAAAGGGTCTTTGCAGTGATGGGCGTTACCAGAGAGGGCGATGGCCAGAGGACACAAATGGGACGGGGAGGCAGCACGTTGGGGGGGGGGACGCGACACGGCTCGGGCCCGCCAGTGCCCCAACGGGGTCCTAGTCTTTCTTCTTTAGGGCCCGAGCGTAGCTGCTAAGCAGCTGCGAGAGCCCTATTATTCCTGATGGATTCTTCTTTCTTCTTCTTCTTATTATTTTTCTGCCCCTTTGAACTGGAAAATGGCCCACTTCCCACTGGTGAAAAGTCATGAAATTTGGCAGGACGACCGGGCCTGGTGAAAAATTCGATATTCTGAAGTCGCCCAAAAAATCAAATGCAAAATGGCTCCATAGCGCCCCCTAAGGTGAAAAATTCACATGATTGAGTGTCACGCCTGTACGCTTTGTCAAAATGACACAAAATTTGACACACACGTGTATCTCAATAAGATCTACAAAAAAGTCAGTGCGGGCGTATCTGTCAAATGTACGGTTAAAGGGCTATTTCGCATTTTTTGCCGATCCGCACACATTGGAATTTCGCTAACTCCTCCGAAGGCTTTCGTTCCACCGGCACCAAATTTGCTCAGGCCAATCTACACCCCATGGCCATTAAAAGTTGTACAAATCATGACGCTGCATCCCACGGTTTACGTTCTAGGGGGCGCCAAAGATAACCCAGAAATCCACATTCTTAAAAGTCGTATAACTTTTTATTTTTGTCCTCACTGGCCTCCAAGTTTTCTAGGATGATGCAATGTCCAGCCATCAACACATTTGTGAAGGAATTTTTACTCCCCAAAAGAGCGCCCCCCCATGGCAGGAGAAAAAAGTCCATTTTTTCTTGTCTCCTAAGGCGAAAATTCACACTATTGACTGTCACGCCTTTACGCTTTGTCATATTGACACAAAAATTGACACACACATGTATCTCAATAAGATCTACAAAAAAGTCAGTGCGGGCGTATCTGTCAAATGTACGGTGAAAGGGCTATTTCGCATTTTTTGCCGATCCGCACACATTGGAATTTCGCTAACTCCTCCGAAGGCTTTCGTTCCAAAGGCACCACATTTGCTGAGGCCAATCTACACCCCATGGCCATTAAAAGTTGTACAAATCATGACGCTGCACCCCACGGTTTACGTTCTAGGGGGCGCCAAAGATAACCCAAAAATCCACAGTCTTAAAAGTCTTATAACTTTTTATTTTTGTCCTCACTGGCCTCCAAGTTCTCTAGGATGATGCAATGTCCAGCCATCAACACATTTGTGAAGGAATTTTTACTCGCCAAAAGAGCGCCCCCCCATGGCAGGAGAAAAAAGTCCATTTTTTCTTGTCTCCTAAGGCGAAAATACACATTGTTGACTGTCACGCCTTTACGCTTTGTCAAAATGACACAAAATTTGACACACACATGTATCTCAATAAGATCTACAAAAAAGTCAGTGCGGACGTATCTGTCAAATGTACGGTTAAAGGGTTATTTCGCATTTTTTGCCGATCCGCACACATTGGAATTTCGCTAACTCCTCCTAAATCTTTTGTCCCATCGGCTTCAAATTTGCTCAGGTCAATCTACACCCCATGGCCATTCAAAGTTGTACAAATCATGACGCTGCACCCCACAGTTTACGTTCTAGGGGGCGCCAAAGAGGACCCAAATATCCACATTTTTAAAAGTCTTATAACTTTTTATTTTTGTCCTCACTGGCCTCCAAGTTTTCTAGGATGATGCAATGTCCAGCCATCAACACATTTGTGAAGGAATTTTTTCTCCCCAAAAGAGCGCCCCCCCATGGCAGGAGAAAAAGTCAAGTTTTTCCTGCCCATCGCTCAATGGCTCAAACGCATCGCTCTCTCTGCAAAACCGAAAGGAGGAGCAACTTGCCATTTGGATATATACTAGCTGTGTTTGTGCCCTCACTCATGGTCCAGACTTTTTTCAAATAGGACATGTAGTTTGTCTGCAGCGAGCGTTTTGGTAGAAACTGCGCCTCCCATTCATTATAATGGGAAATGACCACAGACAAGTGCGCACACCATCTTTGGACCTTGAGTGTGACGCGATCGGGAGGGGGAGGCGGTCGCGCTGGGGGCGGCGCGACACGGCTCGGGCCCGACAGTGCCCCACCGGGGCCCTAGTTCTTTCTTTCTTTCTTTAGGGCCCGAGCCAGCTGCAGAGCAGCCGGGCGTAGGCCCTGTTATTCCTGTAGGGGTTTTTCTTTGTTTCTTTCTTAGGGCCCGAGCCAGCTGCAGAGCAGCCGGGCGTAGGCCCTGTTATTCCTGTAGGGGTTTTTCTTTGTTTCTTTCTTTCTTCTTTTTCCTCCCCTTTGAACTGGAAAATGGCCCACTTCCCACTGGCGAAAACTCAGGAAATTTGGCAGGACGACCGGGCCTGGTGAAAAATTTGATATTCCGAAGTCGCCCAAACAAGAAAATGCAAAATGGCTCCATAGCGCCCCCTAAGGTGAAAATTCACACTATTGACTGTCACGCCTGTACGCTTTGTCAAAATGACACAAAAATTGACACACACATGTATCTCAATAAGATCTACAAAAAAGTCAGTGCGGGCGTATCTGTCAAATGTACGGTTAAAGGGTTATTTCGCATTTTTTGCCGATCCGCACACATTGGAATTTCGCTAACTCCTCCGAAGGCTTTCGTTCCACCGGCACCACATTTGCTCAGGCCAATCTACACCCCATGGCCATTAAAAGTTATTCAAATCATGACGCTGCACCCCACGGTTTAGGTTCTAGGGGGCGCCAAAGATAACCCTAAAATCCACATTTTTAAAAGTCTTATAACTTTTTATTTTTGCCCTCACTGGCCTCCAAGTTTTCTAGGATGATGCAATGTCCAGCCATCAACACATTTGTGAAGGAATTTTTACTCCCCAAAAGAGCGCCCCCCCATGGCAGGAGAAAAAAGTCCATTTTTTTCTTGTCCCCTAAGGTGAAAATACACATTGTTGAGTGTCACGCCTGTACGCTTTGTCAAAATGACACAAAAATTGACACACACATGTATCTCAATAAGATCTACAAAAAAGTCCATGCGCGCGTATCTGTCTAATGTACGGTTAAAGGGTTATTCCGCATTTTTTGCCGATTCGCACACATTGGAATTTCGCTAACTCCTCCGAAGGCTTTCGTTCCACCGGCACCACATTTGCTCAGGCCAAATTACACCCCATGGCCATTAAAAGTTATTCAAATCATGACGCTGCACCCCACGGTTTACGTTCTAGGGGGCGCCAAAGATAACCCAAAAATCCACATTTTTAAAAGTCTTATAACTTTTTATTTTTGTCCTCACTGGCCTCCAAGTTTTCTAGGATGATGCAATGTCCAGCCATCAACACATTTGTGAAGGAATTTTTACTCCCCAAAAGAGCGCCCCCCCATGGCAGGAGAAAAAAGTCCATTTTTTCTTGTCCCCTAAGGTGAAAATACACATTGTTGAGTGTCACGCCTGTACGCTTTGGCAAAATGACACAAAAATTGACAATCATGTGTATCTCAATTAGATCTACGAAAAAGTCAAAGAGCGCGTATCTGTATAATGTACGGTAAAAGGGCTATTTTGCATTTTTTGCCGATTCGCACACATTGGAATTTCGCTAACTCCTCCTAAGGCTTTCGTCCCACTGACACCAAATTTGCTCAGGCCAATCTACACTCCATGGCCATTCAAAGTTGTAAAAATCATGACGCTGCACCCCACGGTTTACGTTTTAGGGGGCGCCAAAGATGACCCAAATATACATTACAGTAGACAAAGTAGTTTTGCCCACTGAGTGGCGCCAAAGGGACTTGTCTGTGGAGTCTGTGAGTCACTATTGGCCGTTTTTGACTACTTTAGATTTTACCTTTATATTTCCTCTTACAAAATTTTTACCTTGCCTTGCCTGGTATCATTTTTTTCAGCACAACCTCACCTGTGTCAATTTACAGTTATTTTATCATTTTGACATACTATATTTACACATTGGACCCAAATTCACACACAAAACATAAAATCCGAGTGGAAAAAAGTAACGTTTTTACTGTGAAAACCACAAATATGTGTGATGAACTGTTTTTAAAACTTAAACTTCAATTAAAAATTGTAAACTTCAAAACATATGCAAATTTTTAACAAAGAACATAGTAATTTACCTCTATTGACATCAAAATGCAGGCAATGGCCCAGGTGTTCTTTGTAAAATTATTTACAAAACACTGTATAGTCTCACAAATGTCACTTTTTATTTATGCCACTACAAAAAAACATGATGTAAATGATGCATGATGTAAAACATGATGTAAAAAACTTGTGTAGATCCTCCTCTATGTTAGTCCATGTGTAATTTTTCCATAATTCTTTTTTTTTTGCAGCATTTTTGTTAGTGTAACTGCAGATTGTGCTGACAGTGTCTATGGCAAAAAAAAAAAAAAAAACTGAAAATGCCTCAACATGAACCCCTGGTGGTCTCTGAGGGTGAAACCTGCTAACTGCTGCAGCTCTGTCAGCTTCAGTCTCCCATGCAGAGCTCGGAGCGCATGTGTGGCTCTGCACCCTTAGCAGCGTTGCTAACTCCTCAGTAAGGAAAGCCTGCTTCATGTCAGAGTCTCTAAACTCCAGAAGAAGTCGATAAAAGTCACTTTCTTTCTAAAAAAAAGTCGTTAGGGGGTCTGAAAAGTCATTGAATCTAACAACAAAGTCGCTAGGTTTGCAACTACGTGTCCCAGACTGCATCCCTGCTGAGAGTCCCTCCCTCCCTTCTCATATTGCAGGAAGAACGTAAGTTCCCGCCCCTTGTCAATCAGTCACCATATAATTTTGGATTGGTTGTTGTGGTGAAGTTTTCCACCAATAGGAGAGATGTTGTGGTGTGTTTTTTTTTTCCTTTGGCAAGCCTTTTCCGCCTGTAAGACCTGTCGCTAATGTCTGCATGCTATGTTTTCCTGTCTCATACAGCGCGATCGAGCGCCGAACGTGATCAAAATAAGCAGAAAACAAGTATCGTGGACATAATTTATCATAACTCTGGTTTTATTTGGCCTATCAACACAATTTAAAAACTGGTATATAGGTTGAGGTCCTCACTTTTGAGATAAATTGAAACGGAGAGTCAACGAGGCTCCGTCTTGCAGCTACATCCGGTTAAATATGTCATGTGACTTGAACGCACACACACACACACACACACACACACACACACACACACACACACACACACACACACACACACAGACACACACACACACGCACACACACACACTCAGAGTCTGGTTTTTAGCACCTGCAAAAACATGCTATTTACATATTTGACAAGAATGCAGAGGCTCCTTTTGCCCCTGAAAAAAATCATATTTCAAACACAACTTGACTGGTCATTTCTCCAAAAGACAACCATGAAGCTCCATCCAAACCTGAAGCAGGCAGTTGGTGCATGTGTACAGTAACCTGAGGGGAGTGAGGTGACTGCTTCTGAGGAGAACATGAGCAGTGAAGATTCACCTTAGAGCTAGAACAGAGACGTGCACATGATTATACAGGGGCAGGGGCTCAAGTTTTTTCCAGTTGTTTATACAATATGGAAATTAATGTGAAATTAAAAAACAAAGTATTAATAGAAAGGTAATGACTGTCCTGTGTAGGTGACAGTGATATCCAATAGGCTAGGCACTCACGAGGCTGGCTGTGGCAAGTGTAAGTGAAAGCAACACGCACTGGCAGGAAGAACAGCAAACGCCGATGAAGGAAAAGGGTCTTTGCAGTGATGGGCGTTACCAGAGAGGGCGATGGCCAGAGGACACAAATGGGACGGGGAGGCAGCGCGTTGGGGGGGGGACGCGACACAGCTCGGGCCCGCCAGTGCCCCAACGGGGTCCTAGTTAGGGCCCGAGCGTAGCTGCTAAGCAGCTGCGAGAGCCCTATTATTCCCCAAGTGGTTTTTCTTTGTTTCTTTAGGGCCCGAGCGTAGCTGCTAAGCAGCTGCGAGAGCCCTCTTGTTCCTGTAGTTTCCTTCTTTTGTTATTATTATTATTTTTCCTCCCCTTTGAACTGGAAAATGGCCCACTTCCCACTGGCGAAAACTCATGAAATTTGGCAGGACGACCGGGCCTGGTGAAAAATTTGATATTCCGAAGTCGCCCAAACAAGAAAATGCAAAATGGCTCCATAGCGCCCCCTAAGGTGAAAATTCACACTATTCACTGTCACGCCTGTACGCTTTGTCAAAATGACACAAAAATTGACACACACATGTATCTCAATAAGATCTACAAAAAAGTCAGTGCGGGCGTATCTGTCAAATGTACGGTTAAAGGGTTATTTCGCATTTTTTGCCGATCCGCACACATTGGAATTTCGCTAACTCCTCCGAAGGCTTTCGTTCCACCGGCACCACATTTGCTCAGGCCAATCTACACCCCATGGCCATTAAAAGTTATTCAAATCATGACGCTGCACCCCACGGTTTAGGTTCTAGGGGGCGCCAAAGATAACCCTAAGATCCACATATTTAAAAGTCTTATAACTTTTTATTTTTGCCCTCACTGGCCTCCAAGTTTTCTAGGATGATGCAATGTCCAGCCATCAACACATTTGTGAAGGAATTTTTACTCCCCAAAAGAGCGCCCCCCCATGGCAGGAGAAAAAAGTCCATTTTTTCTTGTCCCCTAAGGTGAAAATACACATTGTTGAGTGTAACACCTGTACGCTTTGGCAAAATGACACAAAAATTGACACACACATGTATCTCAATAAGATCTACGAAAAAGTCAATGCGCGCGTATCTGTCAAATGTACGGTTAAAGGGTTATTCCGCATTTTTTGCCGATCCGCACACATTGGAATTTCGCTAACTCCTCCGAAGGCTTTCGTTCCACCGGCACCACATTTGCTCAGGCCAATCTACACCCCATGGCCATTAAAAGTTATTCAAATCATGATGCTGCACCCCATGGTTTAGGTTCTAGGGGGCGCCAAAAATAACCCAAAAATCCACATTCTTAAATGTTTTATAACTTTTTATTTTTGTCCTCACTGGCCTCCAAGTTTTCTAGGATGATGCAATGTCCAGCCATCAACACATTTGTGAAGGAATTTTTACTCCCCAAAAGAGCGCCCCCCATGGTAGGAGAAAAAAGTCAATTTTTTCTTGTCCCCTTACATAAAAATACACATTGTTGAGTGTCACGCCTGAACGCTTTGTCAAAATGACACAAAAATTGACAATCATGTGTATCTCAATTAGATCTACGAAAAAGTCAAAGAGCGCGTATCTGTATAATGTACGGTTAAAGGGCTATTTTGCATTTTTTGCCGATTCGCACACATTGGAATGTGGCTATCTCCTCCTAAGGCTTTCGTCCCACCGATACCAAATTTGCTCAGGGCAATCTACACCCCATGCCCATTCAAAGTTGTAAAAATCATGACGCTGCACCCCACGGTTTACGTTCTAGGGGGCGCCAAAGATGACCCAAAAATCCACATTCTTAAAAGTCATTTTGGCCACTGCAGGAGTACAGAGTACTGCAGTTCTAGGGGGCGCCAAAGATGACCCAAAAATCCACATTCTTAAAAGTCTTTTTGGCCACTGCAGGAGTACAGAGTACTGCAGGATACACACACATATACACACACGCCAACATACACACACACACACACACACACACACACACACACACACAGACACACACACACACTCAGAGTCTGTTTTTTAGCACCTGCAAAAACATGCTATTTACATATTTGACAAGAATGCAGAGGCTCCTTTTGCCCCTGAAAAAAATCAAATTTCAAACACAACTTGACTGGTCATTTCTCCAAAAGACAACCATGAAGCTCCATCCAAACCTGAAGCAGGCAGTTGGTGCATGTGTACAGTAACCTGAGGGGAGTGAGGTGAGTGCTTCTGAGGAGAACATGAGCAGTGAAGATTCACCTTGGAGCTAGAACAGAGACATGCACATGATTATACAGGGGCAGGGGCTCAAGTTTTTTCCAGTCGTTTATACAATATGGAAATTAATGTGAAATTAAAACACAAAGTATTAATAGAAAGGTAATGACTGTCCTGTGTAGGCGACAGTGATATCGAATAGGCTAGGCACTCACGAGGCTGGCTGTGGCAAGTGTAAGTGAAAGCAACACGCACTGGCAGGAAGAACAGCAAACGCCGATGAAGGAAAAGGGTCTTTGCAGTGATGGGCGTTACCAGAGAGGGCGATGGCCAGAGGACACAAATGGGACGGGGAGGCAGCGCGTTGGGGGGGGGGACACGGCTCGGGCCCGCCAGTGCCCCAACGGGGTCCTAGTTCTTTCTTTCTTTCTTTAGGGCCCGAGCGTAGCTGCTAAGCAGCTGCGAGAGCCCTCTTGTTCCTGCATGTTTCCTTCTTTTGTTATTATTATTATTTTTCCTCCCCTTTGAACTGGAAAATGGCCCACTTCCCACTGGCGAAAACTCATGAAATTTGGCAGGACGACCGGGCCTGGTGAAAAATTTGATATTCCGAAGTCGCCCAAACAAGAAAATGCAAAATGGCTCCATAGCGCCCCCTAAGGTGAAAATTCACACTATTGACTGTCACGCGTGTACGCTTTGTCAAAATGACACAAAAATTGACACACACATGTATCTCAATAAGATCTACAAAAAAGTCAGTGCGGGCGTATCTGTCAAATGTACGGTTAAAGGGTTATTTCGCATTTTTTGCCGATCCGCACACATTGGAATTTCGCTAACTCCTCCGAAGGCTTTCGTTCCACCGGCACCACATTTGCTCAGGCCAATCTACACCCCATGGCCATTAAAAGTTATTCAAATCATGACGCTGCACCCCACGGTTTAGGTTCTAGGGGGCGCCAAAGATAACCCTAAGATCCACATATTTAAAAGTCTTATAACTTTTTATTTTTGCCCTCACTGGCCTCCAAGTTTTCTAGGATGATGCAATGTCCAGCCATCAACACATTTGTGAAGGAATTTTTACTCCCCAAAAGAGCGCCCCCCCATGGCAGGAGAAAAAAGTCCATTTTTTCTTGTCCCCTAAGGTGAAAATACACATTGTTGAGTGTAACACCTGTACGCTTTGGCAAAATGACACAAAAATTGACACACACATGTATCTCAATAAGATCTACGAAAAAGTCAATGCGCGCGTATCTGTCAAATGTACGGTTAAAGGGTTATTCCGCATTTTTTGCCGATCCGCACACATTGGAATTTCGCTAACTCCTCCGAAGGCTTTCGTTCCACCGGCACCAAATTTGCTCAGGCCAATCTACACCCCATGGCCATTAAAAGTTATTCAAATCATGACGCTGCACCCCACGGTTTAGGTTCTAGGGGGCGCCAAAGATAACCCTAAAATCCACATATTTAAAAGTCTTATAACTTTTTATTTTTGTCCTCACTGGCCTCCAAGTTTTCTAGGATGATGCAATGTCCAGCCATCAACACATTTGTGAAGGAATTTTTACTCCCCAAAAGAGCGCCCCCCCATGGCAGGAGAAAAAAGTCCATTTTTTCTTGTCCCCTAAGGTGGAAATTCACACTATTGACTGTCACGCCTGTACGCTTTATCATATTGACACAAAAATTGACACACATATGTATCTCAATAAGATCTACAAAAAAGTCAATGCGCGCGTATCTGTCAAAAGTACGGTTAAAGGGCTATTTTGCATTTTTTGCCGATTCGCACACATTGGAATGTGGCTAACTCCTCCTAAGGCTTTCGTCCCACT